TCATATCACATGTCGTTTGGCAAAAATAGTACAATAAACGTTTTGCCTAGTGAAATCCTTAATGCTGTCTCCTTGGCTTCAGACTATCAGACACAACCATTTCATTGTTAACAAGACTTTATATATAATAAATTGCTTTGAACAATAGGAAACCGAGTATAATTCACAGTAGATTCAGACTTTGACAGAAAATGAACAAATATGTAATATCATATCATTTGATTCAAAAAGTTAATTTCGTCATTGAAGAAAATATTACAAGCCTCATGTGCTTTTAACCAATTCTTTTAATTTATTTGGATTTAACTATTTTTTTTCAAAATTCATGTGTACGCCCGGGCGTTTTGACGTAAACGTAGCTACGCGCCTGCTTGAAATTTATTACGAATGTTGGTTGAAGGAACGGTATTTCATTATAATGACAAGAGGTCGGGGGACCAAGATATTAACCTGTTGAATTATTCATCTCATGAATATTCATTAGTAATTTGCAGATTAATCTCAGTGTGTATTTTTGAAATCTTATTGTGTATTTAACAATTCTCAATGTGTGTTTTTCAATTTATTTCATCTCAGTGTGTATTTTTAAAATCTCAGTGTGTAATTTTAAATTCTCAGTGTGTGTTTTTCATTTTTTTAAATCTCAGTTTGTAATTTTAAAATCTCAGTGTGTTATTTCGATTTCTCAGTGTGTTATTTTAGGTTACTAAATCTCAGTGTGATTTTTTTAATTCTCAGTGTGTAATTTTTTCGAAAAAAGGTTTAAACATAGTTTTGACGAGAACGGCTTGCCATAGATAAATACGATGGAGTCCAAAACGGATATTTTTATCTTTATAGCTAAAAGATTTTTTATCAATAAAATGATATAAAAAATGTACATGACACTCCTGTAACATGCAATATATACATATAGAAATATGTCAAGCTTAAACGGACATTTTCAATAGACTATAAAATGTAGATCTTCATAATATTGAAAAATAGATGATAAGTTGTAGGGGTCTCAAAAGTATTTCCTACATCACTGACCAAACTTTGGTCTCTGGTGGAGTGTTGTTTCATTGGTAATCATATCTCATCTTCTTATTTTTATACTAACTGTTAAAACTACGGATATCATTTTTTTTATGCTACTGAATTTTCATATTTTTTAAATTACTTTTGACTAAGAAAATCTGATTATCGAACCAACTGGTACATTGAACATTGTAGTAGTTGATTGGATATAGAATAACGAACAGGCGATTAATTTCGCATACATGATTATGCAATTGATGCCTGCAACAAATGATTAAATCAAATTTCTGTAATTTAGATTTATACTTCGCCCGTGTAACGGGTCGAGTATTGACTGTTTATTGTTCATATCGGAACTATTCGTCCGGGAACGTGTTATCCATAAATTACAAGAATGAGACATCAACTAACACTACATAAACCTAGAAGACATCCAAGGATCAACCTATTGTTTACAACCATAGACTATTAGTTACATAGTGTGCTAGTGACCTAATACGGTATATATGGGGTCAGTAAATTCCATATGGGGTGAGAACGAAGCTCGAATCCCCATATGGAATTTACTGACCCCATACATACCGTATTACGTCACTAGCACACTATGTTACGACTTTATCTTACCGATTATCTTTACATGTGGTATTTAGACTATTGACCTAACAAAGTGAGCAAGTCTTCCATTCCGTTAGCATTAAGAAACTACTTCCATTGGTCATACTAAAACAAATGCCAACAATAACAACTTGTTAGCTTTAAAGTGTTTTATGAATTTATGTCAATCTTTTATAATCAATTTCTTCGTCTGTTGAAACCTTTAAGTTTTTTTTCTCAGTACCGTTTTGTTTTTATAAAGGGACGTAACACCACTTCTAACCGTGTATTAAAATAAGCCCCGCCTACTAACCTAATATGGAATATACACGGTCTCCACGCGGTTGCTTTTAACCAATCATATTCCTAAAAATGTATAGGAGGTAAGATAAAAGCATTTACCATGTACAAAACAAGCTCTTAATCACCCGATATGTATACAAGTTGTGTTTTGTTTTCACAACATACTGCAATTTAAGTAAAGTTTATGATAGAGGGTATAAAAAATTAACTCGGTCTGATGTTCGTTATTCATAATGCTTGCCATTTCTTATTTTTTTAGATCTCGATGATTGGAATAGAAAAGGTCAGCAAAAACACTTTAATGAAAATCACCTAAGAAACATCTACTAGGCAATCAGTATTGAAGATAACAAAAATACAAGTATAAACATTAGTTTAAGTTCCAATTTAAAAACCGTCAGGATATTTGGCAGAGTATTTTTTTTTATTTATCAAATTATCCGAACAGATGAATATGCTGAACCACTTTTAATTCCATAGATAATCCATTTTTTTCATACTTCTATAATCTTTGATTTCTTCATCTATAAAAGAGAGCATTAATAGATGTTGATATGTGCTGTATAATTATGTTATCTATATTGTTACAATTTTTAACATTTTTTTGTCCAATGAATCATTTAGAATTATTTGCTTTATAGTTTTCGAACTGTTTGCAGTTTACACCTCAGTCATGATGTAATTCAGAAAATTAGAAGACCTCTTCCTAGTTTGCAAAAGATGTATTGTTCGACATAAACATGATGTGAAGAAGTGCTTGTTAGGGTTATTCAAGGATATATGGAAGCTGTGTTGGACTTTAAACACCTGACCTCATTAAAACCATATCTTCCGTTGCTCCCGTTCGCTGGTGAACATAATTATTTTGATAGATCTTTTTCACATGACTTTGAATAATAAAATCTCAATAAAGATTTCAAATGGATAGACGTGGTTTTATGTAGACCAGTGGTCGTTTTTTGCTGTCTGTCAAAAATGTTTTCATCTATTATCATACATAGCTCTGATTCCTTTTGGCTTTATTTGGGTTCCTTTTGGCTTTTATCAGCTCTTCAACGTACTTATTATATTTTGTCTTTAAAATGTTTTGGTCTCGATCATCACTGAAAAGACATTGATTGTCGAAATGTGCATCTGGGGCCGGATTATTAGTACCGTTTTTTTTACAGTATAAAACCGGCCGTTGGTATTCTCTTTTGCATTGTTTCAAATCAATTGTGTCTTCTAGGAACCATTGTTGTAACTACACAAGTTTTAAAGTCACCATCACGTTTTTTTTCCCAAATACGATACATCTATGTCTAATCTCACTAGCGCTATGTTTTCGTGGTGTTAGATTGTTAGATGACAAAATACTCGCGCTATTTGTAAATTTCCTGCTTATGTGCTATTCCCAATTATATATTTGAACCAAGTGTGGATACGCATGGCGGGTGATACCAGCATAGCAGGAGACGCTTATCATGTCGACACATCCGGTCTCGCTCCTTTTGGAGTTCGTGCGATTCTCTCACTTTATTTTTACCTTGAGTTGTATTTTCTTAATTGATCATGAGATTCGAACAGCTGTACATTACTGATGCCTCTAATTTACTACACGGTATTTGTTTTGGTCATTGTTGAAGGCCGTGCGTTGACCTGTAGATGTTTACATTCTTGTCCTTTGGTCTTTAGTGGATAGTTGTCTCATTAACAATAATGACACACAGCTCTTTTTTTTTAAATTATGTCAGGTATTATCATCATTATCCGTTGTAATCTTGGTGATTAGACGTAAGACAAAATGACTCCTTTGTGAAATTGCATACTTAATTGAATAGAAAAGACAAAATGTCGCTGGCTATTTTATTGAATAAAATATAACGGACGCCGCTATAACATATGCATAATTTATCAGTAAAAGATCGCCAAAACATTATACACCTATTGACTGGTTATGAGGGTAATAGCAAGTTTGTTGTCCCTGAGATACCAACTATTGCTCGAGGCGAAGCCTGGTAATAGCAAGTTTGTTGTCCCTGAGATACCAACCATTGCTCGAGGCGAAGCCAAGGGCAATCGTTAGTATCTCAGGGACAACAAACTTGCTATTACCCTCATAACCAGTCATCAAGTGTTTTATTATACCGAACAAAACAACTTTCTAAAAAGTTTACATCAAAATAGTCACTTAAACATGCACAAGATTAACTACACAATGTATTTGGTTCCTTTTGCCCGTGTGGTATATGTAAATATCTTATTTACTGTAATCAAGACCAGGAATCCTTGTGTAATAATTCCCGTTCATATAATAAACGCTAGCTAAAATATATTACCGTATACCAAAGCAATCACAGATTATGAAGACGACGACAGTCCCATACCATACATTTGTTTTGTTTTAGATCTTAAAATATGTAGTTTTTCTTTTTTAATTGCTTCCGGTAAGTAATATATTAATTTCAAATTACTACGACAGACACATACAGATTCTACCGTTAACGATATTTCAGAGTTGAACGCGTTGCCAAGCGCTCAAATCCATGCAGAATAGTCAACGACGTCATTGTTGTCCAATTAAAAGTTAGTATGAAAAAATCCGGGAAATATGTTGATAAAACTATTAACCAGGGGTAATTATTCTTTGAAACTATTGACTGGAAAATAGTCTGTGGAACGAAATAGCACAAATATTTCATTCTTTTTTATATAGAAAAAAAACATACTGAGGTATAATAAACCCCTTATTTCTCACGCCAAACGTGGGAGCAAACGTAATGCGGTATGGGATTAGCTAATTGTCGAGGGCCGTATGGCGACCTTTGGTGTCTGGTTGAGAGGTGTCTCATTGGCATTCATGCCACATATTCTTATTATCATATATTTTATTATATTGATTTAACACGGATGATACAATATGGGTGATACCCTTATTGTGTCAATAATATACATGCAGTGTTTCGGAATTCTTCTACAAATCAACTAATCGACAATATATATTTTTCTACTGTTATGATAAAATGCAAATGAGGTCAATTATCTTGTTTGAAACTTTAAAAATCATCTTCCTCCATGTTTAATTTAACATGACTTACTTTGCGTGGATATGGTAATGCATTCCTTTTTCTATTTACCATTACGTACAGGAGAGCAAAGATCATCAACAATCCAAACAATAAAACATTCACTACCCCCATTACAGGAGTTCCTACAGCAGATTTGTAAACTCATTTAAGAAATATTTAAATCAATTAAACTTAACAAACACTTGTTTCCAAATCTTTATATATTATTAATAATTGATTTATTTCAAACAAAGAAAGCTTAGACATGTTATACAAGATGCAGTGTATCTTTACTTAATTAGAAGTTGTCAATATCTAGGGAAAACTGTAAGCAAATCTTGGTATTCATTTGTGTTTTATTATTTAATAAATGAGTTAAAAGACATGTACAAGTCTTGTCTTTCTAGAGGAATTAATTTCTCTTTCAAAACTATATGTATCTGCGGGGGACTGTATGTTTGTGTGATTGGAAGCGGAAATATTGAACAATGATAAACAAATGAAAACATTTGTATCATGAATTATCTTCATAATATAAAAAAATGTTAAAGTTAAATAAAGTCTGTGTTTTCTATTAGGTAGAACAATTATACTTACCTTCATTCAAATGGTTCGCATTTTCTACCGATGTGATGAAGGACGTTGTACTAACATTAGAATCATTTTTAGTCTCTATTGATTAAATAATCCATCATTAATTTATATAAACTTTTCATTACAAAGATTGAAACTGTTTCTACTAATAACAAAAACGAAAATTTCTTTTCTCCTTGCCAGCATAGTAATACACTTAAGTTCGAAAAAAAGGATTGAACAACAGTGTCACGAACCGTAATTTTTTTGCGTTGACGATTGACACATCTTTTTATTAAAATAAAATTGAGAGGAATTCCTTTTCCGTCCCTCTTAATTACACAATTATCACAAAATACACACTGTTACAAAGAATCGCATGAAATTAATAATAAACAAGATGGGTTTTTTCATTCGGCTGATGAAAATGATACAGGAAGCTACAAGTACACAAAATAAAAGTGTTTTGTGTATCTTAAAAATTTAAACTAAGTTACCTTTTCTATGTCCCCGACATAACACTGGTAATTTATCATTACAGTCTCTGAGTTGGAATGAATACGATGATGCATTATATTTCTCTGTGCAAGATTCTAATGCGACACATTTTCTGTTCACCTTGACTTAAAATAATAAAACATTTAATTTATTGTTAAATTTGCAAAAGCGTAAACTTTCAAGTATCGAAAAAAATGTTAGGTTCGATTTTGATTTGAATAAAAATTAGAGGGCAGCGTTTATTTGACAGATGATTGATTAACTACGAACAGACAAATGGTGCTGTCATAGACGTCCATTATTCTAAAGTATTAGGCGTTATCTACAATAAAATCATATAAATTATGGCGATCAGAACAACTCTTCTAAAAGTTCGTTAAGGTACTTTTTCATACGTTCTTCGGGCTTAAAACAATGGTGTTAAATGTTGTAGTTATGTTCAATACTTTGTGTTCTATAGGCATCATACAGTATCTACAAGAATAGTAGATGTTCTGTTGGAACGGAAAAGTTTAATCATAGCAATTTTACCAACTGCAATGTATAGTTTACAGTGATGTTAATATCTTCAAATTAATTTTATTTATTTGTTTTATTCCTAAAAGAAAACGAGTTTATTTTGTAAAGGTTTGAATGAGAAGATCATTTTTAATATATATCCGTATTTAAAAAAATTATCCGTGTCTGTCACTTCTTCATAATACAATCTGAAGAAAATAATCAACTGGTTATATACACCATTTTTACCATTTGCAAAAGTCTTCATGAAGTTTCCTTTTAAACTTGAACAATTGTACAATCGGATCGACGGAAGGTCTTAAAATATATAACGATGTAGATATCAAAACAATTTTCAACCAATTCTTTTACAATATTTTTAAACAAAACAAAAAAGAAAAAAAGAAAATAATTAAAGGACAAACACTTTTTGCTTGCTGGCGTATGTAGCAAATATTAATTATATTTTACATTTCTCATGAATCATGACATTATTCAACAGATATCCTATTGATTATCAATTGTTCATCTTTTGAACAAAATATTGTTTAGAATACTAAGATCTGACAACACGAACCTCACAATGAACAGGGACTCAGGTTTTAACCTAGGACAACGGCATAACAGCACAGATAAGAAAAAATTGTAGGAGAGCAGTTGTTAATGGTTTTACTTATTAGATAAGATTTATTTTCTGGAGAATTGTGACACTCATATCTTTATGTTGACACATAATGATTCATATAAACGAAAGATTCATACTATTTTGTTTTGTCTTTTATCATCTTGAAACATAATGTTTTACTATGACAGGTATCCTAATGGTCTTCCTAACATTTCATGGAAAGACGATTGTTATCAACTCCTGTGTGCCGAGGACATAAGGTTGTTGTGCTATTTTAGACGAATTTTCTGGACGATTTATTGCAAAAAAAGAACGCATTCCGGTCTCGTTTGAGGAAGAAATAAAATCAAGATCTACTCTAGAGCTGTTTCCTTTTCTTTTTAAAATTTGTTAAAAAATATACAGTCATTATAATGTATTCATATAACAGCTGATTTGCTCTACAAAGTCAAGAGGTTATATGTTTAACAATGATTTTTGATAGAGCAGACTAATTGTTCCATAAACGGTTCAGTCCGATATACTCACCCCTCTGGAGTAACTATTCTTGTCCTTTAGAGTTTGGATTGGCCAGATCTTTAGTTTATAAGAACTTGTTGTTAATGTACGCCTTTCATTAGTTCTCCGACAACATGTCTAGTTACTTTCGATCGTGTTAATAATCTAAGTGAACATTTAACAAATGCACTTGATTAAAAACAGTTATAAGAATTTAAAACATGGTCGAGATACATATATACATTATCAGGACAATTCTAAAAGTATCTGATATTATACCTTCCTTGAATCTAGTTGCAGCATACTGATAAATTAAATGTGCTTCATCATTTCCAGTCATTTGTTTTGGTTTGATACACTGATATAAATATCTATCGGTGATTCGTTTTTGTATTTTTCTCTCGTCGTCTACAAAAGAAGTGTCACGTCAATGTATAAAAAATATAGAGTAAGGATAGTTACAACAGTGATCAACATGCAGTCTTATCAACCAAAACATATGGCCATCCATGAAATGCCATTTATAATGAACGGTTGACAATTTTCAAACGTAGTTTACATGTCTGTTCAATTTGAAACCCCACCTCATAAGAGGTAGAATCTCTGATTACTAGTATTCAAAAAAAGTGGAACGAACAAGGTGTATTGTGAAGGATCTAACGTAAGTTTGGCTTCTCTGTGCAAAAAAAATTCAAATTTTGCAAAGAAAGTCGGTTATTAGAAAACTGACTAATTTTGGTTGCAATCCAATTAAATCACATTTTAACCGATATGTAATATTTGTGTCACATATTACTACGGATATGATCCACTTGTCGTAACTACAAGCCCGTCCTTGTTTTCACGATCGAACATTACCGAAAGCGGCTTATTACCGGATGTATACTTGCGTGATCAACACGACGAGTGCCACATGTGGAGCAGGAATTTTCCCCCTTCCGGAGCACTTTTGGTGGGGTTCGTGTTCCTCAGTCTTCTGTTTTTTATTTAATGTTATGTTATTGTTGTTTGATCTTTTGTCGCTTTTTTACATGGTGTTGTCTGTTTTTATTAGACTTGTGATTTTCGAATGCCCTGTTGGTATCGACTCTCTTTCGCCATCAGTTGCACCAAAAAACAAATTAACCAGCATTTACTCCAACATGTCTTCGAATATTAAAACACTGATATTTCTATTTACGAGATAATACCACCATAACATAGTATGTCACATCCGTTATCATGTTTAACTAGGATAAAATATATATAATCTTCATGAATTTTTCAGTTGTATGAAAATTAACCCTGTATTTCATTGCATATTTTTTTAGTGTTTTAAGGCAACATTCTTATTCAAAGGGCGTTCCTATCAAATATTTTAGAAACATGAAGTGACCCAATTATCAATGCTTTTGAACACAAAAAGAAGTCGAGAAATCGCTGCCATGTTTACTTTCTCAAATGCAATAAAAGTTTACACTATTCATAAAAATGCCAATTCAACAGACAAATTGAGTAAAACAACGATGATATTACCCCTATTTAGGAGAAAGTGCACATCCACCGTTCACCTCAAATGTTCTCTAGTTTTATAAATGTCATGCTATTTCACTGCAATATTGCAACAAAAGTGCAAACGCTGAAATGTCTGACCTACTTTACTTATCATGATTGAATTTATGTTGAAATTGTGTAACATGAAGGTCTAACTAAAAGTATTACGTGACCTTAACATTATCAATGGTAATTCTAAATTAGGTCAAAGTCGGTAACGTCCCCACTCAGACCGTACTAGCCGCAAAAATAAGTTCCATACAAAACTACAATATCTCAAATTTATAAATTGATAAATTCTTACCTTGTAAGTGAAAAAGTTTGTTATCTTTGTACATCTAAAGGCACATTGAAATTCATCAATAGAGATTACTGGATCTCCATCATGAGGAAACAACTTCCGTAATTCATTGAATGTTTTATCCATTGCGCCTACTGTTGATTTACACATACAACCTGTAAATATTAAAAATGATACATGTACTTTTTTATGTTTGTGGTTATGCTGAGGAAGTTTTTCTAAAAAAAAAACAATATAAAAATATAGCGTAAATGTACTTTCTCATATTCATGAGACAGAAGGATGCACATTTTCAATTCTAGTCTATATTGTGCGTTTATCTTCATTTTTGTTTTAACTATTTATCTGTTTCATGCACCTCCGATGTGTGTTGATTAGGTCCCTGAAACATTATCTCAGAATAAACAAAATAGGTCGGCTCGATACTTCAATTTTAGCTTTGCTGTATGAATATAACTCATTCCAGATGTAACAACATTTCTATCACAATTAATCTATTAAGCATCTTCATTTAGCTCAATTATGTCATCTTACTGAGTTAATTTTGGTGATTATCTGGATTGAGACGATCCCATTTAACTTCAAAATGGATACTAATGATACTATTACTAGTAACAGTCTCATTCATATCCAGAAATGTACAATAATGAACTGTTTATGAAAAATTATGAACATGTCATTTCTCTGCAATTATCCAGTAACATTCCAGACAAAGAAGCTGTTGAACCAGTGGTTCTAAATGGTTCATCTTCGCTAGCCAAGGGTTACGATCCAGTCCCCTCCTGGAGAGGAGGAGACTGGATCGTAATCCTTGGCTAGCTTAGATGTAAATGGTTAAGCCACCAGGATTTGGTTATTGAATACACGTGCTAAAGATGGATATGTTCTACTGCCGTTGATACTATTCCTTCCTCCTTTACTTTATGAGATATCACTAAAACTGACGTAATGACAGACTTTTACCTTCCTATGAGCAACACGACGGGATCCACTAGCTGAACATGAACTGCTTATCCTGCCAGAATAACCGAGTTCACCCACAGTTTTTGGTCGGGTTTGTTTTGATAATTCCTCTGTATTATTTTGTGGATTTTTGTTTTTGGGTTTGTCTTTCTTTATTTGGTAATGGTGTTTCCTGTTTTCCTTCAAATTATTGTTTTGTATTAACTTTTTGGTATTTCTTTTTGTCTTGTGCTTATATCTTAATTGAGAAAGGGGTCGGGGCTGTTATTCGTTGTGCTCATTCTCCGGCCTGTGACATCCAGTGAAGTAAACACAAATATTGGGTATGGTACAATGATGTATATCTTCTAGAATTGAACAGCAGCCATTTATCTCATTCGGAAAATGCTTGTACTAAGTCAGGAATGTGGCAGTTGTTTTTCACTTGTTCCGTTGATTAATAGTGTTTGATTTTGTCAGTTTTCTATGGACATCTTCCTTTAAATTTGCCTTGGAGTTCAGTATTTTTGTTGTACTATTTTTTGACTGGTTCGTGGAAGAATTGCTAAATTTAGATGACAGTAGAAAAGTCTGATGTTTAATTTGTTCCCCTCTTGATTCCAAAATACAGATAATTCCTTTAAGGGTCGATTCAAAGGAAATAATTGCCTGAAATTCCAGTGGACCTGTTTAGCCTGGCTGGTCAGGGGATCAACACTGTTCTAGGACATAATATATTAGTCCCAGCACTGCTGAAAATTAAATGATATTTTCGTAAAAGAGACTTCATTTATACTCTTTTGATCCTCAATAGTGGAGTAATTTCCCGTCTGCCAAATTATTTATGAATATGACATGCAGCAACAGAAAACGTTAAGTATGCTTAAGATACCAAAAGGGAACTTCAAAATCAAAACTAACGTCGAAGGGAGCCCGAAAAAATCATTGGGAAAAAACGACCAAAAGACAATCGACAGTCTTCAAAATATTCTTTGACACTTAAACTCAAAGACGAAAGATAGCAAAAAACTAGTACTTTCCTCGTTATTAGGTATTCATGTAAAGCTAAATCTAAAATATTACGCGCTTACACATATTCGCCATTTAATTTCACCTTTAATATTCACTTCCCTGTCTTTTATCCCGCAAACATCATCGTGGAATAATGCTTTTGCTGATAGGATTTTGGTGTTCTGAGATAAAAAAAAAAGTCAGAAAGGATTATAGTTTTTTTTTAAGCAAGAGTTATATTTTTGTCATCATTTGGTCCAAAATGATCACTTTCTTTTCTTTAAATCTTTCATAAGTCTTATATTTGAATGTGTCTCAGGGGCGGATCCTGCCATTTATAAAGGGGGGGGGGGGGTTCCTAACCCAGGATAAAGGGGGGTTCCAACCATATATCCCCATTCAAATGCATTGATCGTATAAAAAGGGGGGGGGGGGGGTTCCAACCCCCGGAACCCCCTCCCTCCCCCACTGGATCCGCCACTGTGTCTTTTAGCAGTAAATTAAGATTTATTGATATCGTGCTATCTATTTGCTTACCAACTACCGTTGCCCATTCTGACACTTGTACTGATGATCCTGTCCAGGCTGGTAAAATATCCGGAATGTCAATATCACCAGCATCTCCTCTGATGTTATCTAATTTTGCAACAGTACAGTCGTTCCAAGCATTGGCCCAAGTAACTTTGTATGAGGAAGACAAAAGATTAACAAGTTTATAAGAGCTAACCTATGTTGTTCAAAAGTAACAATATGGTTGTTTAAGCAATTGTTATTTACCGCTTTATATAAAGCATTTCTTTAAAACTATGAATAGACAAAAACTTACAATCAAATTAATAAACTTACCATTTCTTCTTGTGTGTGTGGTAACAATATTACACATTGTTATTACCAAAATTAACGTGCAATACATTTTTGAAAATACATCTATATAAAAACAAAGTTTTATAAGAGAGGAAGATGATGTCGATTTCGAAAAATATTATTTTCAATAAATGAAGAAATAACGGATGTGGTAACGAGCTATGATAGAAATTGAATTTTGTGAAATCAATTTATATTTCCTCGGTGTAAATTATGAATAACATCCTGACTATATATGTATATATGCCAACATATTACAGCATTGTTTTTGAACAAACACTCATCGACGACCACTTACTTTCGGACGAGCACATTAATTGTATAAAATTAAACATCACAGTTAGACGAACTTATAGTCCATTTTACCAGACTCAAGCTAGCGACCAATTCTAGCGACCAATCAAGCTAGCGACCAATTCTAGCGACCAATCAAGCTAGCGACCAATTCTAGCGACCACTAAAGAACACAATGAGAATCGACTTGTCTAAGAATCTTTATGTGGTATATGAGAAAACCACAAAACCACATTATGAAACAACGTTCTGTTAAAAAGAAAATCTATCTACCAGTACGGTATATATATTGTTTGTTAACGTTTAAATGACCAGAAATGTCCATCAAATTAAGGGAGAAGGGACACTACAATACGAATGACGTCTGTAGCTGAATGCACTGACTAGTTTGGTTGCTAAATGTCTGCATCAATATCAATGAGTAAAATACAACATGCCAGAAAATCGTAAAAGTCAAAACAATTTAATACAATAGAAAAACAAAGGATATGGGGTATCCCTCCATGACACAAAATCAGTAAATGCACAGCGAAAAACACACAAAGAGCTTAGAACATTCTTTGTTAACGAACTATTTTTATTCCCCTACATTCGAACACATACTATATGTTATCATATATGTATTTATACAAATAAAGGTGCGCCCCTCTCCGGAGTTTATTCTATTGGGAGAGGGACTAGTTGGGAAATAAAGTAATCCATATCTTAACGTCTTCTTTACGATTTCTCTGTTTTCCAAACTCTAAACCGAGATCGCAAAGATAAATCGATTATTGTAAACAAAATATTAAAAACGGAGCGTATATCCCCCAAGCACATAATGGCTATACAATAGCACTTTGCGGTTTAGAAATCAGAATAAAAAGCTAAAGAGTTTTTGTGAATTTGAATAATAAAAAAAACAAGAGTGTTTGTTTATGATGATTTGCTCGCACAATCGTGTTCAATATTCAATGAACCGTAAATAATTTAAAAAGTACATATTTTAATGAACATGTGTAACTAGTTTCAAGTTGATCTGACTGCAACGTCATCTTAGACTAGATTCAACACTTACGTCATTCTAATGCAGTATGAATGGACGGACAAACGGACAAACGAATTAACGAACGAACGAACAAAAAAAAACCCAGATAATATTATGGGCTTTACTGTCGTAGGCGGAGCATAGAATAACTATGTAATGTGAGTTCACTTAAACTTGTTCCTTTGTACAATGTATCAGCTTTCAAATAAACGAAATAAGAAAAATATTATGTGCGAAAGAATAACTATATACTGGCTTTCCATACACTCGGCATCCTCAAATATCCTTTGTTTTCTAGAAAAGGAACTTTTAATGTCTATTCCCTATTCTGAAAATGAAAACATACAAAATAACAAACTGTAAGAGTACATTTCATGCCCACAAACAATATTTTGAATTGAAAGTATACGTGCACTATTTTGTACGGCATGCATCCTTACTTAAAAGAAAAGTAAAGATTTTTTTGTTTAAAAAAAACCCGTACACTTTGAATGTCAACTTTGAACCCCTTCAATTCCCAGAAGGTCCTAACCCCCAAAAAATCATTCAAGTGGGTCCTGCTCTGATTCATTACCTTTCATTTGAGCTATGTCCGGTGTCGAACTTTGCCGTACAGAGCTTGCGAGACTTGCCGAAAGAATGTACGGTGGACCTTTTAAAAAAAAAAATAATACCAACTTTTAACCCCTTCAATTCCCAGAAGGTCCTAACCCCTAAAAAATCATTTAAGTGGGTCCTGCTCTGATTCATTACCTTTCATTTGAGCTATGTCCGGTGTCGAACTTTGCCGTACGGAGCTGGCGAGACTTGCCGAAAGAATGTACGGTGGACATGTTAAAAAAAAAAATAATACCAACTTTGAACCCCTTCAATTCCCAGAAGGTCCTAACCCCCAAAAAATCATTCAAGTGGGTCCTGCTCTGATTCATTACCTTTCATTTGAGCTATGTCCGATGTCGAACTTTGCCGTACGGAGCTGGCGAGAATTGCCGAAATAATGTACGGTGGACACGTAAAAAAAAAAAAAACAGCTTTGAACCCCTTCAATTCCTAGAAGGTCCTAACCCCCAAAAAATCATTTAAGTGGGTCCTGCTCTGATTCATTACCTTTCATTTGAGCTATGTCCGATGTCGAACTTTGCCGTACGGAGCTGGCGAGACTTGCCGAAAGAATGTACGGTGGACACGTGAAAAAAAAATAATACCAACTTTGAACTCCTTCAATTCCCAGAAGGTCCTAACCAGCTCCGTACGGCAAAGTTCGACACCGGACATAGCTCAAATGAAAGGTAATGAATCAGAGCAGGACCCACTTAAATGATTTTTTGGGGGTTAGGACCTTCTAGGAATTGAAGGGGTTCAAAGTTGGTATTATTTTTTTTTACGTGTCCACCGTACATTCTTTCGGCAAGTCTCGCCAGCTCCGTACGGCAAAGTTCGACACCGGACATAGCTCAAATGAAAGGTAATGAATCAGAGCAGGACCCACTTAAATGATTTTTTGGGGGTTAGGACCTTCTAGGAATTGAAGGGGTTCAAAGCTGGTATTTTTTTTTTTTTTACGTGTCCACCGTACATTCTTTCGGCAAGTCTCGCCAGCTCCGTACGGCAAAGTTCGACACCGGACATAGCTCAAATGAAAGGTAATGAATCAGAGCAGGACCCACTTAAATGATTTTTTGGGGGTTAGGACCTTCTGGGAATTGAAAGGGTTCAAAGTTGGTATTATTTTTTTTTTTACGTGTCCACTGTACATTCTTTCGGCAAGTCTCGCCAGCTCTGTACGGCAAAATTCGACACCGGACATAGCTCAAATGAAAGGTAATGAATCAGAGCAGGACCCACTTAATTGATTTTTTGGGGGTTAGGACCTTCTAGGAATTGAAAGGGTTCAAAGCTGGTATTATTTTGTTTTTTACGTGTCCACCGTACATTCTTTCGGCAAGTCTCGCCAGCTCCGTACGGCAAAGTTCGACACCGGATATAGCTCAAATGAAAGGTAATGAATCAGAGCAGGACCCACCTAATTGATTTTTTGGGGGTTAGGACCTTCTAGGAATTGAAGGGGTTCAAAGTTGGTATTATTTTTTTTTTACGTGTCCACCGTACATTCTTTCGGCAAGTCTCGCCAGCTCTGTACGGCAAAATTCGACACCGGACATAGCTCAAATGAAAGGTAATGAATCAGAGCAGGACCCACTTAATTGATTTTTTGGGGGTTAGGACCTTCTAGGAATTGAAAGGGTTCAAAGCTGGTATTATTTTGTTTTTTACGTGTCCACCGTACATTCTTTCGGCAAGTCTCGCCAGCTCCGTACGGCAAAGTTCGACATCGGACATAGCTCAAATGAAAGGTAATGAATCAGAGCAGGACCCACTTGAATGATTTTTTGGGGGTTAGGACCTTCTGGGAATTGAAGGGGTTCAAATTTGGTATTATTTTTTTTTTTACATGTCCACCGTACATTCTTTCGGCAAGTCTCGCCAGCTCCGTACGGCAAACTTCGACAACGGACATAGCTCAAATGAAAGGTAATGAATCAGAGCAGGACCCACTTAAATGATTTTTTGGGGGTTAGGACCTTCTGGGAATTGAAGGGGTTCAAAGTTGGTATTATTTTTTTTTTACGTGTCCACCGTACATTCTTTCGGCAAGTCTCGCCAGCTCCGTACGGCAAAGTTCGACATCGGACATAGCTCAAATGAAAGGTAATGAATCAGAGCAGGACCCACTTAAATGACTTTTTTGGGGGTTAGGACCTTCTAGGAATTGAAGGGGTTCAAAGCTGTTTTTTTTTTTTTTACGTGTCCACCGTACATTATTTCGGCAATTCTCGCCAGCTCCGTACGGCAAAGTTCGACATCGGACATAGCTCAAATGAAAGGTAATGAATCAGAGCAGGACCCACTTGAATGATTTTTTGGGGGTTAGGACCTTCTGGGAATTGAAGGGGTTCAAAGTTGGTATTATTTTTTTTTTTACATGTCCACCGTACATTCTTTCGGCAAGTCTCGCCAGCTCCGTACGGCAAAGTTCGACACCGGACATAGCTCAAATGAAAGGTAATGAATCAGAGCAGGACCCACTTAAATGATTTTTTAGGGGTTAGGACCTTCTGGGAATTGAAGGGGTTCAAAGTTGGTATTATTTTTTTTTTTAAAAGGTCCACCGTACATTCTTTCGGCAAGTCTCGCCAGCTCCGTACGGCAAAGTTCGACACCGGACATAGCTCAAATGAAAGGTAATGAATCAGAGCAGGACCCACTTGAATGATTTTTTGGGGGTTAGGACCTTCTGGGAATTGAAGGGGTTCAAAGTTGACATTCAAAGTGTACGGGTTTTTTTTAAACAAAAAAATCTTTACTTTTCTTTTAAGTAAGGATGCATGCCGTACAAAATAGTGCACGTATACTTTCAATTCAAAATATTGTTTGTGGGCATGAAATGTACTCTTACAGTTTGTTATTTTGTATGTTTTCATTTTCAGAATAGGGAATAGACATTAAAAGTTCCTTTTCTAGAAAACAAAGGATATTTGAGGATGCCGAGTGTATGGAAAGCCAGTATATAGTTATTCTTTCGCACATAATATTTTTCTTATTTCGTTTATTTGAAAGCTGATACATTGTACAAAGGAACAAGTTTAAGTGAACTCACATTACATAGTTATTCTATGCTCCGCCTACGACAGTAAAGCCCATAATATTATCTGGGTTTTTTTTTGTTCGTTCGTTCGTTAATTCGTTTGTCCGTTTGTCCGTCCATTCATACTGCATTAGAATGACGTAAGTGTTGAATCTAGTCTAAGATGACGTTGCAGTCAGATCAACTTGAAACTAGTTACACATGTTCATTAAAATATGTACTTTTTAAATTATTTACGGTTCATTGAATATTGAACACGATTGTGCGAGCAAATCATCATAAACAAACACTCTTGTTTTTTTTATTATTCAAATTCACAAAAACTCTTTAGCTTTTTATTCTGATTTCTAAACCGCAAAGTGCTATTGTATAGCCATTATGTGCTTGGGGGATATACGCTCCGTTTTTAATATTTTGTTTACAATAATCGATTTATCTTTGCGATCTCGGTTTAGAGTTTGGAAAACAGAGAAATCGTAAAGAAGACGTTAAGATATGGATTACTTTATTTCCCAACTAGTCCCTCTCCCAATAGAATAAACTCCGGAGAGGGGCGCACCTTTATTTGTATAAATACATATATGATAACATATAGTATGTGTTCGAATGTAGGGGAATAAAAATAGTTCGTTAACAAAGAATGTTCTAAGCTCTTTGTGTGTTTTTCGCTGTGCATTTACTGATTTTGTGTCATGGAGGGATACCCCATATCCTTTGTTTTTCTATTGTATTAAATTGTTTTGACTTTTACGATTTTCTGGCATGTTGTATTTTACTCATTGATATTGATGCAGACATTTAGCAACCAAACTAGTCAGTGCATTCAGCTACAGACGTCATTCGTATTGTAGTGTCCCTTCTCCCTTAATTTGATGGACATTTCTGGTCATTTAAACGTTAACAAACAATATATATACCGTACTGGTAGATAGATTTTCTTTTTAACAGAACGTTGTTTCATAATGTGGTTTTGTGGTTTTCTCATATACCACATAAAGATTCTTAGACAAGTCGATTCTCATTGTGTTCTTTAGTGGTCGCTAGAATTGGTCGCTAGCTTGATTGGTCGCTAGAATTGGTCGCTAGCTTGAGTCTGGTAAAATGGACTATAAGTTCGTCTAACTGTGATGTTTAATTTTATACAATTAATGTGCTCGTCCGAAAGTAAGTGGTCGTCGATGAGTGTTTGTTCAAAAACAATGCTGTAATATGTTGGCATATATACATATATAGTCAGGATGTTATTCATAATTTACACCGAGGAAATATAAATTGATTTCACAAAATTCAATTTCTATCATAGCTCGTTACCACATCCGTTATTTCTTCATTTATTGAAAATAATATTTTTCGAAATCGACATCATCTTCCTCTCTTATAAAACTTTGTTTTTATATAGATGTATTTTCAAAAATGTATTGCACGTTAATTTTGGTAATAACAATGTGTAATATTGTTACCACACACACAAGAAGAAATGGTAAGTTTATTAATTTGATTGTAAGTTTTTGTCTATTCATAGTTTTAAAGAAATGCTTTATATAAAGCGGTAAATAACAATTGCTTAAACAACCATATTGTTACTTTTGAACAACATAGGTTAGCTCTTATAAATTTGTTAATCTTTTGTCTTCCTCATACAAAGTTACTTGGGCCAATGCTTGGAACGACTGTACTGTTGCAAAATTAGATAACATCAGAGGAGATGCTGGTGATATTGACATTCCGGATATTTTACCAGCCTGGACAGGATCATCAGTACAAGTGTCAGAATGGGCAACGGTAGTTGGTAAGCAAATAGATAGCACGATATCAATAAATCTTAATTTACTGCTAAAAGACACAGTGGCGGATCCAGTGGGGGAGGGAGGGGGTTCCGGGGGTTTGAACCCCCCCCCCTTTTTATACGATCAATGCATTTGAATGGGGATATATGGTTGGAACCCCCCTTTATCCTGGGTTAGGAACCCCCCCCCCCTTTATAAATGGCAGGATCCGCCCCTGAGACACATTCAAATATAAGACTTATGAAAGATTTAAAGAAAAGAAAGTGATCATTTTGGACCAAATGATGACAAAAATATAACTCTTGCTTAAAAAAAAACTATAATCCTTTCTGACTTTTTTTTTTATCTCAGAACACCAAAATCCTATCAGCAAAAGCATTATTCCACGATGATGTTTGCGGGATAAAAGACAGGGAAGTGAATATTAAAGGTGAAATTAAATGGCGAATATGTGTAAGCGCGTAATATTTTAGATTTAGCTTTACATGAATACCTAATAACGAGGAAAGTACTAGTTTTTTGCTATCTTTCGTCTTTGAGTTTAAGTGTCAAAGAATATTTTGAAGACTGTCGATTGTCTTTTGGTCGTTTTTTCCCAATGATTTTTTCGGGCTCCCTTCGACGTTAGTTTTGATTTTGAAGTTCCCTTTTGGTATCTTAAGCATACTTAACGTTTTCTGTTGCTGCATGTCATATTCATAAATAATTTGGCAGACGGGAAATTACTCCACTATTGAGGATCAAAAGAGTATAAATGAAGTCTCTTTTACGAAAATATCATTTAATTTTCAGCAGTGCTGGGACTAATATATTATGTCCTAGAACAGTGTTGATCCCCTGACCAGCCAGGCTAAACAGGTCCACTGGAATTTCAGGCAATTATTTCCTTTGAATCGACCCTTAAAGGAATTATCTGTATTTTGGAATCAAGAGGGGAACAAATTAAACATCAGACTTTTCTACTGTCATCTAAATTTAGCAATTCTTCCACGAACCAGTCAAAAAATAGTACAACAAAAATACTGAACTCCAAGGCAAATTTAAAGGAAGATGTCCATAGAAAACTGACAAAATCAAACACTATTAATCAACGGAACAAGTGAAAAACAACTGCCACATTCCTGACTTAGTACAAGCATTTTCCGAATGAGATAAATGGCTGCTGTTCAATTCTAGAAGATATACATCATTGTACCATACCCAATATTTGTGTTTACTTCACTGGATGTCACAGGCCGGAGAATGAGCACAACGAATAACAGCCCCGACCCCTTTCTCAATTAAGATATAAGCACAAGACAAAAAGAAATACCAAAAAGTTAATACAAAACAATAATTTGAAGGAAAACAGGAAACACCATTACCAAATAAAGAAAGACAAACCCAAAAACAAAAATCCACAAAATAATACAGAGGAATTATCAAAACAAACCCGACCAAAAACTGTGGGTGAACTCGGTTATTCTGGCAGGATAAGCAGTTCATGTTCAGCTAGTGGATCCCGTCGTGTTGCTCATAGGAAGGTTAAAGTCTGTCATTACGTCAGTTTTAGTGATATCTCATAAAGTAAAGGAGGAAGGAATAGTATCAACGGCAGTAGAACATATCCATCTTTAGCACATGTATTCAATAACCAAATCCTGGTGGCTTAACCATTTACATCTAAGCTAGCCAAGGATTACGATCCAGTCTCCTCCTCTCCAGGAGGGGACTGGATCGTAACCCTTGGCTAGCGAAGATGAACCATTTAGAACCACTGGTTCAACAGCTTCTTTGTCTGGAATGTTACTGGATAATTGCAGAGAAATGACATGTTCATAATTTTTCATAAACAGTTCATTATTGTACATTTCTGGATATGAATGAGACTGTTACTAGTAATAGTATCATTAGTATCCATTTTGAAGTTAAATGGGATCGTCTCAATCCAGATAATCACCAAAATTAACTCAGTAAGATGACATAATTGAGCTAAATGAAGATGCTTAATAGATTAATTGTGATAGAAATGTTCTTACATCTGGAATGAGTTATATTCATACAGCAAAGCTAAAATTGAAGTATCGAGCCGACCTATTTTGTTTATTCTGAGATAATGTTTCAGGGACCTAATCAACACACATCGGAGGTGCATGAAACAGATAAATAGTTAAAACAAAAATGAAGATAAACGCACAATATAGACTAGAATTGAAAATGTGCATCCTTCTGTCTCATGAATATGAGAAAGTACATTTACGCTATATTTTTATATTGTTTTTTTTTTAGAAAAACTTCCTCAGCATAACCACAAACATAAAAAAGTACATGTATCATTTTTAATATTTACAGGTTGTATGTGTAAATCAACAGTAGGCGCAATGGATAAAACATTCAATGAATTACGGAAGTTGTTTCCTCATGATGGAGATCCAGTAATCTCTATTGATGAATTTCAATGTGCCTTTAGATGTACAAAGATAACAAACTTTTTCACTTACAAGGTAAGAATTTATCAATTTATAAATTTGAGATATTGTAGTTTTGTATGGAACTTATTTTTGCGGCTAGTACGGTCTGAGTGGGGACGTTAGTCCGATTACCGTGTAGGGTTAAATTTCCCTTGCAACCACTCTCTGGAGTGTCCGTAGGTTTGTGTGTGGCAAGGCCAACTTTTTGCCCATATCAAACATGAAGAAATTACCCTCATTCTGAGTAACTATTCAAATCACTCGCCATTCATCCCGGTGGACCTATCTCACAGCACCTGCCCACTGAATTAAATATTAATTAAGACCCGTTGGTTTATCTGTAGTCAGTGGTACATTGTATAGTGACCTATAGTAATCCGCTTGTTCGTCCATCAGCCAGTCATAAATCTTTTCCGTTCTCTTACTCCCTTAGAGTTCGGTAAAACTTGACATGTTCATCACTACTGAGGGGTTTCGCGTACAAGGAAGTCAACCTAACGTTAAAACCAAAGGATAAATACTTAGCCATCCCTGTGTATATGTACAAAACACGTATCAGCTATCTAATTTTTAAACCTCTTGGAGTTTGTTGATGAAACATGACACGTTTTTTTACGGTATCAGCTAAACTTTGACGCGAATGAGTAAAACATGGAAATATATGTACAGGAGTTAATTTCATCCCGAATGATAGATAGTAGGTATAATCTGAAATAAAGGAAAATTATTATCGATTGCACATTATGTGATATAGTATATCAGTACATGTTACTTAAATGTCTATTTGTCTGGATGCATTCATCTTTTAAGACGAGTTGACATGAATGCTTCAGATATGCATGATGCTGTTATTGAAATTGAAAGAAGTTTTGATCATGTTTATGCATCAAATGTATAATGCATAAAAAAACTACTATCC